GCGCGCGCGCGCTCGGACACGCGGCCCATGGCGGCCTTGGCGTCGTCGGCGAACTTGGCCGACGCCGCGGGGGTCTCGGAGGAGGGCTCCTCCTTCTTCTTCGAGGACGACGAGAAGCGCTCGCGGAACTTCGCGAAGTTCGACATGGGCTGTTCTTCTGTTTCGGTTGCGGAGCTCGTCCGCGGACGCGCTGCGGCCGACGGACGGAGGTGTTGTGCTCGGCGACTGTGCGCTTTTGAGAGCGTGCGGAGGTGTGTGCGCCGCGTCGAGGACGTGTGCGCGCGGCGCTCCTGACGTCGAGCGTGTCCGGCGCTTGCGGCAGCTCGAGCAACTTTTGGACACGGCACCTATTTCGTGCTGGCCGGGGGTCGAGCTGAAACGCCGACACTGTCGGCGTCTCGGCGTAGCGCGCGTCGGCATGGACAAGGGTGAACTAGCCGGCCTTCCGGCCGCCACCGACCTGATTTTGTGTCTCCAGCGATGCAAACAACTCGAGGCGGCGATGAAGGAACGGCAGGCCGGCGGCGGCGCGAAGAGCGGCCGCTACATGAAGCATGACACGGCGCGCCTGCGCTGCCTGGAGCGCGCCGTCTACCCGGAGCTGCGCATGGGCATCCTGCCCACCGCGGTGAACGCGAAGATGCTCTTCGACATGCCCGCGCCGCGCGACATCGCCGGCCCCGCGAAGAAGGAGATGGACGTCTGGTCGAACGTCTACGGCTGGGACCCGCGGCAGAAGAAGGGCGACGCGCCCGAGCTGGACACGGCGGGGCAGACGACGCTCCTGTTGTGGGCCCAGGGCCAGGGCGGCCTCCTGACCGCGGCCGCGGCCCCCGGGCCGCCGCGCGGGCGCCCCCACAGCCTCCACACGACCTACGAGCTCGAGCGCGGCGGCGCTAACGTTACCGGCCACACGCTCGACTACGTCCTCAAGCACTCCAACTACTACATCGCGTGGATGCTCGACGCGCTGAGGTACAGCGCGCCCTTCGTCTGGGAGTTCCCGCGCGACGAGCTCACCTTCCTCGCGCTGCTCGAGCTCGAGCAGAACCGCTGCGCCTTCGTGCTCGTGGAGCGCGGCGAGGCGACGGACGTCATCGTCAAGATCCCCGCGCGCGCTTGGTCTGAGTTCGAGGCGGGGATGCTCGGCGACGCGGTGGAGCGCGAGGACCGGCGGCTGGAGTCCCTCGAGGGCACGGCGTCGGCGACGGAGAACGACCCGGACGCGCTCGCGGCCTTCGAGAAGCTCGAGGCCATGGACCGCACGGGGAACACCGTCGGCGCGGAGACCGTCGAGTTCTTCAACCAGACCATGTCCGCGATGCGCAGCGGCGCCATGCCGCCCATCGCAGGATGGAACAACTACACGATCTACCCGCCCCACTTCTCCAAGGTGCGGCCGTTCCACCCCAACAACGCCAAGACCCTCCCCCTGGTCTTCTGGTCGCCCGGCGAATTCTGGGCCGACGTCGGCGTGAAGTGCCCGTGCGCGCGACACGGTTTTCAACACGACGTCAAGGTCTACGAGCCGCGCGCGCCGCGGGTCGCTGTGTGGAAATCAAATCTTCAACACGACTTCAATGTGCACGTAATTGAACGAAATGCGCCGGATTCCTCGGCCGTGCTTCGAGAACTCGACGAGAGCAATCGATTTGTCCAAAAATTAGCCGAATCGACTTCGATTTGACCGAGATGAAAGGTTCTGAAGTTTGGTACACAGGCGGCTCGTCAAGGACGGCTTCGGCAAGAACTTCGGCCTCTGCGCCGCGCGGCTCTACTGCCCGACGTGCGGCCAGGAGCGCGAGACGGCGAAGGCCGCGCTCGTCACGGCGCGCGGCCAGGGCGCGACGGACGCCGAGCTGGAAGCGCTCGAGAAGACGGTCGCGTCGGCGACCTGCTGGTCGAGCACGATCGACCCGTCCGTGATGAGCTTCATGGTGCAGCGGTTCCCCTTCCTCGCGATGGAGTTCCCGGCCTTTGTGTCCCACCGCTCGGCGGTCTCCAAGGACACGCTGCACGACATGCTCCGCGCGGCCAGGACGGCGCAGGGCGCGCACGACATCGAGAGCAAGTACGACGAGCTCCTGGCCATCAAAGCGACCGAGATGCAGCTCTCCGTCATCTCCTACCAGGCGACGGCCATGGCGCACCAGAAACGGACGGTGATGCCGCGGGTGGATTTGCAGACGTGGCAGCACCTGAAGATGACCGTGCCGAAGATCAGCGACACCTACGTCGCGGCGACGACGCGCTCCTACGTGGAGGCCCACGAGCCCTACATGCTCAGCTGGCTCGAGCAGAACGTGAAGCGCGGCGAGTTCGGCTTCGGGGACCACTCCGGCAAGCACGGCTCGCGCATGAAGTTGCAGGGCGACTCCGTGTTGGGCTGGACGTGGACCGAGTTCAACGAGATCGGGCAGAAGGTCATCTCCGTGCGCGTGCAGACGACGGGCTGGAACGACCCGTCCCTCGTCGCGGCCTACGACTCGCGCCAGCGCGCGGAGCAGCGCCTCGGCCGGCGGAACCCGCTGCGGCGCCTCTGCCTCGACAACCCGAAGAAGGACGGCTCCGGCGCGATCGCGAACGTCTTCCTGGGCCAGGAGCTCAACGTGCTGCGGTTCCCGGGCCGCGTCGTCCTCGTGCGGACCGAGCTCGAGTGCGACGACGCCTGCGCGGCGCTGGCCACGGAGGAGGTCCTCGGCTTCGACACGGAGAACGTGACCTACGTGCCCCCCTACTACGGCACGAACATCGCCAAGGCGGCCATCGTGCAGCTCTGCAGCGGCGACGCGGCCTTCATCTTCGTGGTGCACGCGTGGGAGCGCGCCTACCCTTCCTTCGTCGCGCTCATGGCGAACGGCGACGTCGAGAAGGTCGCCGTCAACGTCGCGTACGACCTGCGCATGCTCCACGGCCGCTTCAACATCGACATCAACGGCGCCGTCGAGCTCTCCTCGCGGGTCAAGGCGGCGCACCCGGGCCTGCAGAGCTACGGCCTCGCGTCGATGGCCAAGGACGTCCTGTCTCTCCACTTGGACAAGCGCGTCCAGCACCACCTCTGGCAGCAGCAGCGCTACACGCCGCGCCAGATCATGTACGCGGCGAACGACGCGTGGGCCTGCCTGCGGCTCGCGCGCACGCTCTTGCCGGTCGCGCCGCGGCGCGAGGGGCGGTCGACGCGCGCGGCGGCGGCGGCGCGACGGCGCTTCGCGGACCTGTCGACGGAGGTGCTCACGGGGCCGAATCTCGAGCGCATCGCCGCGGAGGCGACGGAGACCGACGACGTCGTGGAGTTGGACGAGACCCGCGTCGCCTGCACGCGGCACAAGACTCGATCTGGTGCGCAAGCGCGCGCGGACTCGGAGAGCGACGACGACGACGACGACCTGGGCGTCGACGAGGAGGACGTCGCCGCCGCCGGCGCGCTCGACGCCGCG